AACAATGTAAATAAATGTCCTTGAACTTAGCATTCAGAACTCAGTTCTTTTGTCTTTTGGCTCCCTCAGCATTGTGTAAAGATCTCTAAGACTTTCTCCCCCCCTCCCCCACCCCGCAAAAAACATTCAAACCTAGCAGGCTATGTCCTGTTTATTTTTTGTATCCCTAGTACTTGGTACATTCCTTACTCAAAGTAAATAAAAAAATCTTTTTTCAGGCTATTAGTTTTGGGGTCAGCATTCTGCCTAGGATAGAAAGTATGAATGAATGAATTCAAAACACATTAGGTTCCTAGAAAACTAAGGTTTTTTTTTTTTTTTTTTTAAATTGAGTGTAGTAAGGACACAAATATTTTTATTGTTGATCACCACAATTTATATATTCCATGTACATGACATTTGACACATCAAATATTACATACAATGTAGAAATACTAACTCTGTAATTTAAAGATGTTACAAATACACAGTCATATAAACAATACCATATAAGCAGATAAATTAGAATATATCTATCTCACTAAAAATTTCCATACTACCTTCTTTTTTTCTTTTTGATAGCACTGGTGTTTGAACTTACACTTTCTGTGTGAGCACTCTACCACTTGAGTGACACCCCCAGCTCAAAAATTCTTTTTTTTTTTGGCAGTACTGAGATTGTAAATCAGGGACTTGTGCTTGCTAGCACACACTCTGCTCTTGAAACTTGACACTAGCACACATGTCAATCTTGACACTCCATGATCAATTATTGTTTTGATTATGTCCTTATTTATTTTATTTTATTTTTTGTGGTACTGGGGTTTGAACTCAAGGCCACACACTTTTTAGGTAGGTGCTCTACCTCGTGAGCCTCTCCACCAGCCCTCTTCTACTGTCTGTCAATGTAAACAGCAATGAAGGACAAAAGGATACAGTTTTAATTAGATTATTAAATTAAAGTTAGCTTTAACTTCACAAAATCACTAAAATGAAGTTCTCCTGACTACAGGGGTCTGTGCAGTCTAGAACTGCTGCTCTTGTAATAACAATACATATCTATCCTTCACTTAACATCAACAGCTTAGAGACAATTTTGTTCCACTTAATGTAAATGTAAAACTTTACTTCCACAGAATTTTATTTACCTTTCTTATTCTCTGTGCTATTTTTGACAAATATTTACATGTATGTTACAATAAATCCTATGACATATGTGAATAATTTGGTTTAAAGGAAATTAAGTTTCCTTTCAATGAAATTGAGCAAAAAGCATCAGAATTCTCTTACATTTACTGAAGCACGTACTAATTATAGTGTACTTCGTTCCTTTGCAAGTTTTTTAAGGATTTCCCTTCTACTTGAAGAATCAAATATTCTGATGATTGGCTTATTCTTTTGCTTTGGTTTATCTAAATATGTTTTTATTTCATCATCATTTTTAAAGGATATTTCACTGGTGTAGTACTCTACCTTGACATTTTTTTAAAAGCATGTTTTTATTAGTACACAACAGTTACACATGGGTTTTGTTTGGACACTTCCATTTGTACATATTGTATCCTGGTTTGGTTCATCCCCTCCATTGTTCTCCCTTTTCTTCCACTCCCCTTCTTAAAATGACTTCAACAGGTTTCAATGCTTTACATTCATACATGTATCGAAAGAACTTCAACTCTATTCACCCTCCTTTATTCTTTTCATTTACCCTCTCCCTTCTGCTATTATCCTCCCCTTAACATGACCTGTGTTATATTTCTGACAGGCTTTTTCTCCATTTAAGTACTTCAAAGATTCTATTCCACTGTCTAATGACCTTTATATTTTCTAATGTGAAGTCAGTTCTCAATCTATTCGTCTGTATGCAGTGTGGTTTTTCTCCTTTCTCAATCCTTAGGCAAGTTAGAAGAGTTTTCACTTTACATTTTGTCCTAAGCAGTTTTATTTTAGTGTGGTTTGGTATGAGTCTCCTTGTATTAACCTTGATCAGAGTTTGCTAAAATTCTTCAATCTGTAAGTCCATGTTTTTTGCCAAATTTGGGAAGTATTTGGGTATTCTTATTTTTTTCCCCATATTTTTTCTCTGCTTCCTGTGGGACACATTGAAACATATTGGAGGCCTGTTTGGAATCATCCTACAGGTCACTGAAGTTGTCTTCATTTTTTAAAAATATTTTTGCTCTCCATTCTTCAGCTTGTGTAATTTTTGTTAATTGTCTTCAAATCGTGGATTCTTCCTTCTCTGACATCAATGTGGAATTCATCCCATCAGAAATATTCATTTTAGATGTTGTATTCTTCAATTCTAGAATTTCCAGTTGACCCTTCTTTTTTTTTATTTATTTTTTATTTTCCTTTATTGTTGTGCTGGGTGGGGGTACATTGTAGCATTTACAAAGGTTCTTACAATGAATGTATCAAATATATTATACCTGAATTCACCCACTCCTTTATCCTCCTCCCCTGATTCATGGGATAGTTTCAACAGGTGTCATTTTTGGGTTTGCATACATTATTTGCACCATATTCATCCTCCTACCCTTTTCCCCATTACCTCCCCTTCCCCTCCCCTTGGTACCAACACCCTCTCCCCCGCAGACTGTTCCACCCTCCTGTTCTCAAAACGTGATTTTTTTTTTGCTAGTTTGAGATATAGGTAGCTATGCAGGGAGTTTCCTTGTTTTGTTTCCATGCATATGTGTATTACAACCCCAAATCTTCATCCCTTCTAGTCCTCTTCACTTTTTCCTAGTCCCATTCCCATGGTGACCCGGTCAGTTTAAGATTTCTGTATTTGTTTCTGTAAGTGAGCGCATCAGCTGCATTCAAGATTTTAGTTTCCTTCCCTTACCCTATCCTTCCTGTATGTGTTCTCCCCTTAGTATGACCTGTGTCCCATAACATTACTGCATTTGTTTTAGGTCTATAATCTGCATGTGTGGGAGAACAGGTGGCTTTTGACCCTCTGAGTCTGACTAACTTCACTTAAAATGATGTTCTCCAATTCCATCCATTTACAATCCTTACAGTGTTCATTTCTCTAAAGAGATAATTTATGTACTCATACTTACCTTTGTCTTTGAGTACTTGAACACAGCAGCTCTGGCCTGCTGTTTTCCACATTTAGGTCATTTCAAATATTCCTGTTGACTAGTGTTTCTTGATTGTGGCTCACATTTTTCTGCTTCTCACATGTCTCATAATTTTTATGGCTTACTGGCTATTGAGATGATAATTGTAGGAATTCCTGATTATGTTAATTTTTTAAAAAAAAACTTGGAGCTTTGTTTGGGCAGATGGTCAAAAATGTTTTTCCTTGTACATTTTGGTTTCATTATTTGTTTGATGGTTCTATTTGAGTTTTGAGCTTGGGGCATCTTCTTTCTGATGTGGTCCTTACCTCGAATTCAAGGGCTTTCTGGTTCCTTGCTGTTTGAACTGTTCCATAGGTCTTTCCATTCAGCTGGGCCAGAACTCCAGTTCTCTAATGTTTGGCATTTTAGTTCATCTTTCCATCTCTCAGCAGATGATATCTGCCAGGCCCAGATAAAAAAGCCTTTGATGAATAAATGGGTTTGGGGAGGCCCCTCATTTGAATGTCTCTCTTTTGGTGCTCTGACCTGTAAGTGCTAATTGCTTCTGATCTCATCCTCTTGGCTCAGAAACATTGCCACTGCTGTAATTACACCCCCTCTCTCTGTCCACAGCATAAGTCATAATGAGCAGAAATTCCAGGAGATCATATGTGCACTTATGTATGTTCAACTTGTAACAAAAATCACAGTTCAGCACTCACTGTATTCAATGCCTGAAAACAGTACCCTCATATATTCTCCACCTTATTTTAAGTGTTTGCAACAGGAGACCAAGTCATATATGACTATTATGTGCAAGCCATTAGTGAAAGGCAGCCATTCCTTGAAGTTACTAGACATTTACTAGGAGCTTAGTAGCAGAAAAAACCAAAGTAGTAGAATAATGTGTAAGTGAAAATGTGGTTCATGCACTATGATCACAGTGACCGTGGTCATCTAAGTTGGCTTGAATAATCATAGAAAAGCCTCTTCTACCTAGGTGACTCAATTAAAATGCCCAAAAAGTTTTCAGTAACACACAAAAAGTTTGAGTATTTCCTCTGTCTCTGTGTTAAGCACTCTTTTACACATGTACATTGCTGCTTATTTTATCATACCCACTGGAAAAAGTTCAGAAGTTGACTATAAATACTATTAACACAGTTCAATCAAAGACAATATCAGAGAATTTCCTTCTCTCAGCTCCAAAGCTATATCTGCAAAAAGCTAAAATAAACAGGTGGAAAGCAAAATGTACTGAGAGGCTCAAGAATCCATACATGTGAAGCTGAGCTTCAGAAACATTTAATTTTTCCATCCATATAAACGCTGAATGTGAAATTATACTTCTCGAATACAAATACCCAAACAAAGGAAACTAGCTGAAATGAAGCAGCATTTGTGTCAACTTCCATATATTAGACTTTTATAAAGAATTATGTAATTAAAAATGATCTTCAAATGCAATGAGTTGAATTTCTCAGTTTGCTTAAAGTACCTCACTCTTATTTGAGTGATTAGTAGTACATTTTTATTTCAGTTTTGGGTATACTGTGTGTGTCCTGAAAATGGGCAATGCTTTTTTGAATGATCTAAGTTATTCCTCTTCAAATAAAATGTTTAGGAAATAGTAACAATTGTTCCTTACACTAGGGATTCTAGAATGTTAATCTTAGAGGTGAGCTGAGGTTCATTAACAGTGTTTAATGTTTATCATGGCATCATGTATTTGAATATTAGCCTTTAACTGACAACCATCTTTTCCTACCCAGTGTATCAGTCCTAGGGGGTTTACTTTAAAAAGGGAGCCTATCTGACCTTTGCTGGCTGAAAGGAGTTTTAATGACATTGTTGACATCATAGAAGCATCAATTTCTCATCCCATGAGCTTTGATTCAAAAATGTGATTTCAATTTGTTTAAAGTCAGATTTATGTATATGTCTACTATAAAAAGTAAAAGCATAAAATACAGCAAAAAAATTTGCTAGTTATTAGCACACAGGGTAACTCACATAGGAGGTGAAGTCCAAGGTAAAAAATAAAAGTAAAGAAATAATTATGATTGGCCTATTTTATATAGGCCACTTTTATACCAAAGAGTACTAAAATTTAATATCATATTGGAATTTTTAAATTTGTATGCTTTGAGGGAAAAATAGTTATTAAATTTTGGTAGGTTAGGGGCATAGCTCAAAGGGTAGAGCACTTGCCTAACAAGTAAGAGATCCTGGGTTCCAACCCTAGCAAAATAAATCAGTAGGTAAATTTTGGTTATCAAAAGTTGACTTTTAAATGTGATACTATATTAGAACCTAATATTATCTTATAATAAGCTATTATAAGGAAATCACCTTATATATTTAACCTGATTTAAGCGAAGAAAGACTACGTTAGACACAGGCAAATTGTTGGGAGATTCTTCAAAATGTACAATTATGGCTTTTAAGATATGAGAATGTTTTCACATATAGCTTTTTAATGTCACTTTGAGTTTGAACAGATGGAAATAAAGAGATTTGGTCAACAATTTAAAAGCCAGTTTGGCTATCTAATTGTAATTTTTTTTCTCAAAAAAATGTGTATCCTGAATACATTGAATTTGGTTATCATTTGTAGTATGCCCTTATTTCTTTCTCCTTTTCTCTTCTCCATTAAATTTAATTACTCTTTTTTTCTTCTATGTTTCAAGCAACATAGGAGCATTTAGAAGCAAAACTATCTTGTGGGATAATGACAAATGGATGGAAAAGCTAGCTTCTTGTCTGTTGGTGGTTACTATAGCAATAATCATGATGGGAGATTTTCAACTGCAAGTGGTTTCTATAACAACATGATAGGGTGCTTTAGAAAGAGACATGAGGTAAATAGATTCTTTATGGGTCTTTTAACCCCTTTTATACCACAAGATTAGCATCCTCTTAGGGATAAATATTACTTGGTTTATTTGATAGATGCCTTTAAAATATTGGTTTAATTTTTTTTAAGTTGAACAGTTAATTATTCTATATGATCTGGCCTAAGCTGATATCTTAGATTCCTTTACTTTTGTAAATATTGCTAGCATCCATGCTTTGTTTCTACAAATGAAATTGAAATAATTGTAAAGACATATATTTCACAGTATTTTAAAAAATGTGGAAAATCATTGAAAAAGTATATTAACTCTCTCATAGATCACCCAAAAGCTCTTGGTTTAGGAAACCCTGAACCTACTATGACCACACCTGCTAGAATCCCTGATAGGTAGTGATCTTTCTGCTCTAACTAATGGATCCTAAATGCTCATCTTTTGTTATGTCATTCAGTGTGCTCTAAATTAGAGATGATCCATATTCAATTTATAATTCACTAAATGTTATAAAAGGAAATTTAGTGAAATTTTTCTGAACTTACCATGCTTTAGTATAATAAAATATGACATATAAGAAAACAAAGACACTAATTTCATTTATAAAGCACCATTCAAGAGCCCCTATAAGTGAAAGATCAAGGGAACATACAACAGGCATGTAATTTAACAGAATAGATGGTAATAGGCCAGATATAATTTTTCAAGACAAAGAAAGATGGAATGTTTAATTTTAGTTCTACCATCAGTTAAATTTAAGGAGATGGGGTAAAGCTTGCTTAATTCAGTTCAATAATGAATTATTGATTAGTAACTCTATATTGGATACTGAAGGAATATACAATGATAAATAATGTGGAGCTTAATTTTAAAAAACAAAGTATATCAAGTAAAAACAGTTATTAAACAAAACAGTAATTTGTTAAGTTTACTGATTTGAAATTAATGAATTATGTGCTTGAATTCATCCTCTTTTCCCACTAGTCCCCCAAATCTTTCAAATGCAAAGGACCTTAAAAGAGCTTATTATAGCTATATGTGAGGACGAGTGAATTCATCCAAGGCTGCCTTATGCAATTTTTACAATAGAGCTGTTCATATGCTTTTATGCTTCTCTACTCAGTCACACTGCCAATCCCAAACATGAGATACTCTCAACTCTCAGACAGGTGTTAGCCACCATGCATCTCCCTCTGAGTTTTCAAAATGTGTTGTAGTATTTTTAATCCCCTGGTATTTCATGCTCAACAATGAAGCCTCAGAATTCATTACATATGCATTTCCCATGTTCTTCTTGGGGCGGGGGTTGCCAAATGGGTACGTGGGAGATCAAGACCCAGTCGTCATTAGGAGCAGAGGGATGCCTGTGTGAACTACAGCCTGTGTGCTTACAGCAACGTGTGCCAGAACACAGTGGGCAGGGAGCCACTCGTGAACTCTTCAAAATCGTATGCACACCAAAGGCACAATGGCATTTTGCAGTTGTTGTGCTCAGTACCAAAGGGCTTTCAGCCGCATAAAAGAATGTGAAATATATTCACAGTGCCTTCCAAGTTAGCCAGTAACCACAGTAACCTGGGTTTTCCCCCAAATTTGGCCCTCAACATAGAATGACCTGACAGAACCAAATCATTCTCTTCTGTTCAAGTATAGTGAGCCATAAAGTAAGCAAAACAAATTTCCCTGGAGTAAAACCAACCAACCAGCAAAGCAAGCAATCAGCACATATTTACTGCACTACTCAGGATATACAGTAGTGTTCAAATTGCATGATGGAAATCAAATATATAGGTCATAGCCACAGATAGGCACACTGGTGAAGTATAGTATAGTTCCTGAACTTTTAATTTAATCATTGCAAAGAAAAGTCTGCATATGAAATGAGGAACCATTTAGGAAATACATAGAAAAGTTTTAAATTGTATTTTAACAACAGAACTTCCTTGGCTTCTCAGGCCAAGAGATGAGCCAGAATGCAAAAGTATAGGAAATATGCAAAAGTGACCTTTCTTCTAAGGATATGCACAAGTTGAAGATACATCACAAGTTAACTCTCAGAAAGTATTTTGCAGTGCCTTCGCTCATGGCTACCACTGAAAGGATGTTCTAAAATAATACCTCACTGACTAACATCTTATTCATAGCCATAATCACACAGTTTTTCTCAGCCTTAGTTGCTTGTGCAAAAATATGAGAAAACTGTCAAGAACCACACCTTCCAGTATAGTAGTCTCTAGTCACAGGTGGCTTTTGAGACCCTTAAACATGGCCAGACAGAATTGATTGTGCTGTCAGTGTAAAGTATGTACATAATTTCAAAAACTTAATACAAAAAAGGAGAATAATCATTAAAATTTTTACATGGATTGTGCATAGAAATGATACTATTTCACCTATGCGTGGTTGAATTAAATATATTGAAATTAATGTTGCCTGTGTGTTTCCTTTTTTAATATGGTCGATAGAAGACAGCATTGTCTCAGTGGCTCACGCTATGCTTCTATTAGCGGAACTGGGACAGATATCTGATATTTAAGTGGCATTTCTGGGCCGATAGCACAGCATCCACTGGAAGCTCAGTAGAAACCCCAAGTCTCAAGCTTCAGTTCAAACCCACTCAATCTGCAATTTAACAAGACCCTTGGTGGTTCATGTGAGCGTTGATATTTGGGAAGTCTGATGGAGACAACTTTCAGGTGCTTCTTTTTTATGATTCCATCTTCCTTTGCATGCGATTTTTTCCAAATAAGTGTTTTGAAATCTTATTGGCACCATGACATATTATAGATGAGATACACAACCTTAGTGAAGTAATTTGTTTAATACTTCCTGCCCCATAATTTTTTGTAGGAATTAAATGAAATGCTAGGACAATGCATTTTCCTCAAGGAACCAATAAATTGGAGATATTTTTGTAATATAAATAATAAAATCAGAAATCAGATTATTCTAATTTTTTTCATTCTGATATTGTTATCTATCCTATTGCTGTGCACAGTGGAATGTGCTAGAGTTTGAAGGGCTGTTTTTACTTATTTTACCAAGTTTGCTCATTTTATCTTTAACTTTAGTTGTGTAGAGTGTATTTACTTAGCACACTGATAAGAATATATATGGAAAATATTAAAATTGTGGAGTTCTTTTTTTAGAACAAAAATATTAGCAGATTAAATTTTCTGCAAGATTGTTTTACCATTGATGTCAAATTTATATTATTGATTATTAATCAGTTTTAAAAACACAGATTTATGGAGTGGGAAAATCTTTTTGTTTAGAACACCTTTAGCTTTACAGTGAGGATTTCAATTTCAATTTACTAGAAGCAAAAGCACTAACTAAATGTAGCTCTATTTCATAAATAAAGGGGTTACTTAAAAGTTTTAATCATTAAAATATACATAGATTACGATAAGGTTAGAGCACCCAATCCTTTTAGCTTTAAATGAATCTAATGGCAAAGGAACATAATTAAATCTGATTAAAAATTTTAATAACTAACATTTAGTAAAATTGACCTTTGCAGTTTGCATTCTTTAGTTATTTTCTCTTCCAGGAGGACTGTATGACTGCTGCCAGAGGCAGCAACCGGAGGAAGCTTTGAGAGAAAAAGCCATCTTTGGACTGCCCTGATTTCATCTGTAATGGTTGTGGGTGAACAGAAATTGTACATGAAAACAACAGGTGGAACACTTGTCATACACAGGGAACTTAAAATGCATTCATAGAAAGGTTTCTCAGTGAGGCCATGGACCTTCTAATGAGGAAACACAGTAGAATGGGAACATCGAGGTACTGGTGATGCCAGTGAACCTGGCATCAACTGGAATAAGGAAGTCAGGCTTCCAAGAGTCTGCATGTTTGAAACAGTAGTGAGTGAGAAGGCGTGGGCACCTTCCTGGATTGTGAGGCATGATTCTCAGACAATGTACTTCTTAGAACTCCAAAACTGCTTTCCAATATTATAGTTTCATTGTCTCATTTTTCTTTAATTTTATTCATTTAAGTATGCATTTATCAAGCACCAACTGTATACTTTGTAGTTTGCTAGTGGATGGAAGGGTAGCAAGATAATTGTGTTTTGGATCCTTCATTGAAATTTAAGGAA